CCAGGCGAGGTCCAGGGGCGAGGCTGGGCGGGGACAGCGAGGGACAGGGGAGGAGCGCGAGGACAGGGACGCCAGGGACTGGGGCGTGTCCAGGGAGCGCCTCTGTTTGTGGAAGGCGGAGGGGCCCGGGGGCTCGGTGAAGGGGGCGTCCCGGCCCAGGGAGTCGAAGGGGACCAGGTCGAAGCGCAGAGGCTGGCCGCCGTCGGCGGCGTCGGGCTTCTCGTACTGCGGGAGTCCGTAGATGTCGGTGAAGCTGACGGAGCTCAGGGAGCCGCGGCTGGAGGCCAGCGAGCCGCGGCTGGAGGCCAGCGAGCCGCGGCTGCTCCCGGAGGACACCGTCAGGGTGCTGGCGGACAGGCTGCAACGAGAGCGCCCGGAGCTGAGGACAGCAGCCCGGAGACCGGGAGCCCGCCGACTCCCACTGTGGGCCTCCCCACTGTGGGCCGAGCATCTGCTCTGCGCCCCGAGGGAACGCAGTCCTGCCTCCTTCCCCCACGAAGCCCCCACCCCGGCCCGCCTTTAACACCTGTGAGCATCTTAAGGCCCTTTGTGAATATTTCCTTTGTTGCTTTGAATGTTGGTAGAGAGCAGTGGTTAACCTCAAGGACTTATGGCTACGAGTTCAAGTTCCAGCTCCAACTCGGACTAGCTGAATCCATTTGGTCAAGCGCTCTGCCCTTTCTGCACCTCCCACTTTCTCCCGGTGCTGTGATAACAGTAACCGCCTCGAGGTGCTCTGAGGAGGAACTACTGAGGGTGATACAGAGAAGCCCTTAACGCTACACTTCACAATACAGTAAGTCCTTGAAAACCTCTTGAGCATCCAGATCTTATTTTAAAGATGTTCATACCTTACAAAAACCCCAAATAAAAATGTACATGTGCATACAAACACTTCTGATTTGGGGAGTTATAAAACCCTTGGATAAATCTGACTTCAGATCTGTTATTCTGAAGTCACACTTGATTATCCTCATATTCCTTGGATCATATATTAGCAGCTCCTCTTAAAAGTATAATGTATCCACTTTGCTGCTCTGTGTTTACAACCACTCCAGGTTCTAAGTTCTGGGAGATAAATCCAAGCTGAAGGGAACTGTGAAATTCACGGGCATGTCATTATAACATGATAATCAAGTTTGGTTTTCTCTTTTAAAGTCACCTACCTTTTTAACTGGGACTGGAGATAGGATGTTAAACGGGTAGCTTCTTCCAGCTGCATAAGTAGACAGTTTCTTTTTTCCTGAAGTAGAATCCTGTAGGGAAGAAAACAGTCCATTGGTGGCTTTCGAAGACAGCAAGTGTATTTTCCTAACAAGAAACTCAACTCTAAATTCCCCAAAACTGGTTTAGATTTGAATGACTAAATTCTAAAAAAGCACACCTAAGTCATAAAACCCAAAATAACAGACTGCTTTTGTCTTACTCAAGCCACACGCAATTCTTTGATTCAGCCTTTCCCGGCGGTCTTCCACTGGAGGCCAGGCCACCCGCCCCCGTGGCCAGCCCACCTTTCTGTGGCGCCCTGCACCGACGTGGCCCGGGCTCGCTGGATCTCCTCCTCCAGGCGCCGCCGCTCCTCCTCCAGCCGCACCACGTCCTCCCCGGGCCTTCTCTGCTGGATGATGAGCTGCAGCTCCTGAAGCAGGGCTTCCTTCTCCTTGATGAGCTGCAGCCGGTCCCTGTCTGCCTCGGCCATGCCCGGCCAGGACTCGGTATCCAGCTGGGCCAGCTGCTGCTGGATATGTGACACCCTGCAAGACAGGGACACAGAAACACCCGTGCACTTTATGAAAAAATCCTCTTCCCACATTCTCAGCACTGTCACACTGATTCTAGAAATTCACTCTGATAAATACCAGAATTAGCACAGAGTAAAGGTTAAACGACAAAAATAAAGGATCTGGAAATGAGGTGTAATAAAAATGAGTGTATAAGTCCCCTGTATAATCTGCCGTGGTCTATGAGTAACCATATCACACTTGCTTCAAAGAACTGACAAAAGGCTGGCAGTCCCAAACTTGGCCATGTGCATGGCATTGTTTCAGATTTGGGGTTTCCCAAGTGGTGCTGTTCTGGGGGCAGGACGGTGCTGGCTCATTTCTGTCTGTGGCCCCCTTTCAGGAGCTAAACATTGTGCTGGACACACAAGAGATGCTTCTGGCCTCCTGCCTTCTCCGCCGTGCCTACCTGCTAACCCCGCCTTGAGAAAACCCCAGGAGAGAAATGCTCCCAACACAGTGATTCTAACAGAAAAGCCCTGCGGCCTGGGGCTCTAGGTCTTCTGGTTTGGTGCGCTCTCTTGCACCGGAGGCCTTGACCGCGTGTGAAATTCACAACGCCTTGCAGAGAGCAGACACTCAACAAAAGCCGGACGTGTGAACAGAGAACACACACGCCAGCAAATATACAAAAGGAGTCAGCCCTGCTGAGCGCTGAAGTGGCGTGGGGTCATCCGCGTGGCTGCAAACCAGTCAGCCTCACTAAATGTGTCAGCATGACCATCCTCGAGGTGTAAAACTCCACTTGTCACTTTCTCTGTTCCTAAACGTCCACGTGCCTGCTTAGCAGACAGGCGGCATCACTTTTGGTGTCCTGGGGTGGTGCTGAATGGAGACTAAGTGAAATAGATGTGGCTCATGTTTTCAGAGCAACCTTTCAAAGCAGGAGTAGAATGTTTTAAGCCCTTTTAAGTTTATATGTGGCTAAAGATGATTTAGCTGTTTCTGGGCAGAAACAAGGAACTCCAGACCTGACTTGAACCCAGCACTGTGGAGGACGGAGGTTGGCACACGGGCCCCAAACCAAACTTCCAATACTTCTCTGAGGTCCCAGAGAGCTGTGAGGACAGGTAGGGCAGCAGTTCTCAAAGTGGAGTCCCTGACTGGCAGCCTCATCGTCACCAGGGAGCTTGCTACAAATGTCAACGTCAGCCCCCACCCCAGACCAGCTGAATGTCACACTCTGGGGATGGGGTTGGGAAACCTGGGTTTTGACCAGCCCTCCAGATGCTTCTGCTGCTCCCTTAAGTTTGACAGCCTCTGCTTTCAGGCAGACCAGCCTGGTCTGCAGGATGCTAACTGGCCTTGGAGCTCTTAGGGGCTTGCATTAGGCACCAATGTGATGATCTTCACTAAAACAGGAACAGCGAGAGTGCTTCTGAGACCGCCCAATCCTGTGCCCAGGTCACTAATCCACGCTGGCATCCTTCCCTCTGGGTCCAGACTTCAGACTCCTTCTCAACACGGTGCTTCCTGCAGATACTGCCAATCAACTGGCACTGGTCCACGTGTTAAGGTCTGTCGGCTAGCCCTGAACCAATCCAGGCTTCTTCTGAACTAGACATGAGCACGGGGCGAGGCTGGAGCACCGAGCAAGGCTCCTTCTTCAAGTACCAAACCAAGCAGAAAACCCACAGTTGTGAAAAGAAGAGTTCACATGTTATAGTTAAAATGTACACATTTGACTTCAAGCTCAATTCCCCAAGAAGGTACAGAAAATAGCTGAACGTCAGTAGCTTTAATCAGCAAGTTCTTGTCGAACTTAAAACTAATTTCCTGAAAATGTGTTGGAAAAACAGCGCCAAATCACGTCACTGAAAACACTAATGACAGAGCTGAACGGGGTGAGGAATCCAACTGGGGCTTATGTGTCCACCTGTGTCTAATAAGTGTGATTAAAAGTTATGGCAGTCATATAACTGAGGCCCAAGGAAACCCTCCAAACAGAACCATCAATAAGTTAGTGCCAAATCAGACATTAGACCCAATGAAATTTCTGGAACATTCTACTGTAGATCAGCCAAGTCAAAGGTAAGCAACAAATATAAAAGAGATGTACAACAGTGAGCAAATCCCTTGTGGCCTCATAGTTTTTTCATTTCAATGTAACCCTGATCCATAGGAAAGCCTATTTGAGCCCAATTTAAGTTAGCAGTATTACCTTGTAATAGACATGAATAATTCTCATACTACAGGAGACATATTTGAGTTCTCTGAGGTCGACACATGAGGAGATCAGGACTCCATCTGACCTGGCAGCTCCAGGTTAGTTGCCATTGCACAAGGATTCAAGTTGCTGAGGGTGGCTAGAGAGCCAATCCCAGATAATCCTACTCTTTCCAGAGAAATCTCAAGTCATATTCACTCTCAGAAAAAAGAATAAGGGAAAAAAATGATGTATAAGAGGGAAGAGAGGCAAAGGGCAAGCTTCAAAAGGTCTGCCCACTGCGAGCATAAAAGCAATAGAACGGTGGCCACGATGACACAGTGCACTGTTGCTTTCTACAGCTCGCAAGAAAATGATGTCAGGACACAATGAGGAGGGACAACTTCTGTAGCAGAAACAAAATCTGGATGAAGCTGACTTCCTATAACCCAACTGGAAAAATTGCTTGGGCTGAATTGAGCACTAGGCAACCACAGTTTGCTTAAGAATATTGTTTTTACAATGAAATGTCACAACAATGCAACTGGCTATGTGCTCATCTCAGGGCTAGTTATCAATTTAAAAGAACACTGGCACATACTAGAAAGTGCAATTTCTTTCTTTAGAATCATACTCTGGAGGCAGACATTTGGGGCCTGCTCTCAGCCAGGTTGAGAGAAGCACATGTCTGTCTGTCCTGGAAGCCAAAAGCTCTAAAAGGATTCCTTCAGTGGTTTCTCGTGCATTTGCCAAGGAAGAGGCAAGATGGCTTTCCCTTTAAAACAACATGCCCCTACTACCGTGCTGCCAGCCTGGAAACAGCCATCTGCGAGTACTCCCCACCCCACACCGTGTGTCAGGGTTACTGGAGGACCTTCCCCCTCAGACTAAATACAGATGGATGTATAGTTACGATGCCCCTTCTCCATCCACGCCAATCAGCTGATGTGCAGTGTGGGATGGAACCCCATTCCTGCAAGCACCATCATTCCAACTCTGCATAATAAAGGAAAAACCATCTCTAGAAAGGCTTTTTTCTGAAATATCTTTTCAGTGAAATTAAATATATGGAAACAAAGCAAGGTCATGATTAAAGTTTGCAAAGAAGAAACTTTTCCAAATTATTTTTTTAACTTTATTCAGGGGGTATGTATTTATGTATTTATTTAGGTTATTTATGTATTTATATATGTATGTATGTATTTATTTATTTTAATGGAGGTACTGGGGATTGAACCCAGGACCTCGTGCATGCTAAGCACACACTCTACCACCAAGCTGTACCCTCCCCTGTCAAATTCATTTTTAAAGAGAACTGACAGTAACTTAAAACTGGCAAGTTCTTTTTCCTTGCAAGTCAGCTGTATTCTTTACTGATTCTTATTTTTAATAGGTAATCCATTTTATGGCCTATATATAATCTCTCACATATGTCTTTCAAAGCTTTAAAATATATCTTCTCGTGCTCATGATGGTGAAGAAATGAAAGCAAGTCCTCAATCAAGCATTCAGGTCTCATATTTATTATGTGATTTCCCAAATCCCTGTCCTGAACATGCCTAATGTAGACAGAAGTCAAATATGAATCATTTTTCCCTTACTATTTTTGCCCAAACACCTTTTCTGCTACAACCCAAGCACCATTAAACCAAGAATGGAAACCTGCATTTATGCTGCAAGAACTCCTCAGACCTTTGCAATTCACATGGAAATCTTAAGTATGATTTGCATTTTTCAAGGAAAAGAATACACTTTTAATATTACACAGTTTGGAGACATATTTTATATATCCAGAGTAATCTCCAGTTATCTGAATTGATACCTAAATTTTGTGCTCTACAAAATTTTGCACGTTCCTAAAACACTGCTGCTTTCTGGAACAGAAACGAACTCCCGACGAGCCGTGACCCCCACTGACGGTGGTGGGACGTGAGGGATCCCAGCTCACGTTCCAAGACACAGTGTCACCTTAGAGCCCCGTGCCTGCCAACGTCAATCACAGCTACAGATCTGCTACTTCTCGTCTCTCTCCTCTGTTTTCTTTTTGCAAGTAACCATTTAAATGAAAAGCAGAAGTTCGTGGAAGTGTTAGCTGAGATCTAAGTCAGATGGATGGTGAAACCATTTCGGCTCAAAGAACTAAATATCGGTAAATCAGTGTCCATCTGGCTTAACTCTTTATTCTACACTGGAAATTTGAGAAGTCTAAATCTAGAATATGTGGCGGAATAAGGGCCTATAAATACCCCAATATCCCTCCTGCCCTCATCTCTGGTCTCTGAACGAACGGACCTTCAGAGAGTGGCTTCTTTACGTGGAAGCAGATGGTCCCTGGGCTTCCTTCTGTTGGCCTGAGTGGGGAAGGTGAGACTACAACAGCAGAGATGCTTTCCTTTGTTTCCTACCGCCGTGCCCTGTGCCCAAACCCAGATACACAATCACTTGAGAAATGAGAGGAAAATCCAAGTGACTGATCAAATTCAGCTGGAATCCTAACACCACACCAATTCCCGACAACAGAGGAACAGCAGGACCCGTCCTGGCAACAGACTAAGACACAGACAAACTGGGCCGAATGTTTTGTTCCTATCAGGCCTGCGAGTGTTTCCATGGAAACAGCTACAGTTTGTGCACAGTCCTGGAACAAGTGCTCTTAGGTTAAAAATAAGGAGCCATCTGCGTCATCAGGGTTGTTTCAAGAAGACTTGCTCCTCCAAATTGGCTTTGAACAATTCTAAAATTTTTAACCAATAGTGTGAAAATAGTCCTATCATAAGGTCTGCCCTGGGAATCCAAAGTGATGTTCCTGAAGAGAAAGGGAAGAAGC